CATCAGATCATCCAAACCAAACTTTGAGGATATGCTCAATCTCCCCAAATACCCACAGCCGCTCATGAACTTGGGTGAAAGCACTGACCGTAACGACACACAGCGTGTCTCCATAGCCTCAGAAAAAGGGGATGACAGCAAGCAAGTGAGGAATAACCCGTCACGAGTGACAGACCTGAGCCAGCTTGGGGTTTTTTTCGTTCTCGACAGTCGGTCTGTCTTTGAGCATGGCCCTGGTTTGGCAGCAGAACGCTGAAAGGCAGGGAGGCTACTGAAGATCTGTCATCTGCAAAGAGTTTTACTTCCAAATGAGTGCATCAGCCCTGAACTTGAAGGTCATAGTTTTCCAATAAACAAAACGAGTCACGTTTTACTCGGTATGTGAAGTCAAAGATTAAAGATCCATCGTACCGGGTCTGGCCCTTTCATTTCAAACAAGTAAGGTCAATGCTCTGTAAGAAACGGAAGACATCGTGCGCACTTGGCATTGCGTATATGGGAATATAAACCAGATCCTGACTCACACACGAAGGCACAGGTCTATAAAACACCGGTCAAAGCGTAGGTGCAACCTAAAGGCATCGCGCACCAACAACTGTTTGGCTTTCCTTACAAGAGGAAGCAAGTTCATTGAGAAGCTGAAATAATTTTCTCTACAACAAAAGGCAGAAACTGATTTAAAGCTTTTACTCTGCTAAAGGCTAAGTTTGCTGTGTTCTGTTTATTTACAATCTGAAACATTTGTACTGGGATTTTTTGAGGCTGGTTGTTTTCCGCCTCTTCCACTGCCAATACAGCACTGCACGAGGCACGAGCAACCTGTGAAAGCCACCACCTGCCAAACCTCCTCTGAACCTAGTTCCACCGCCTTCAACATCTTGCAGTTATTTTCCCACTTTTCTAAACCATATGTTCCGCCAGGCGCACACCAATGCTTTCTTAGCAGCAAATTACAAGGTCAGATAAACTTCAGCAACTTTTGAGCAGTTCAGCCATTAAACCTCCTCCAGCGACTTGGAACGGACGCCGACCACACCAGTTGCAAACAAAAATACACTCCAGTGTGTGCTCGCCTGGGAGGAGATTACCCATCTTGCTCGGCAACCCACATTAGATCAAACATTTCGTTTAGGGCAGAGACACACAAACCGCACTCCCGCAGTCATCCAGAAGAGAAGGCACCACCAGCACCATCTGACACCCTAAATCAGATAGATTCAATTAAGTTCTTCATGACTGTGTGAATGATTTGATCTTTGTACGAAGGGCAAAAGGAAAGACGCTACTCAGCTGTAAATGGGGAAGAGGCTGAGCAACTCAGGCAGGAAGGCTTCCCGTAACCTTTCCTAACACTTACTCCCTCCCAGAGGAACGGGCTGCCCAGGGAGGTGGTGGAGTCACCATCCCTGGAGGTATTTAAAAGCCGGGCAGACGTGGTGCTGAGGGACATGGGTTAGTGGTGGGTTTGGCAGCGTTGGGTTGACGGTTGGACTCGATGGTCTGAAAAGTGCCTTCCAACCTAGGTGATTCTGAGTCTGATGAGATGGACAGCAGAAGAGTACCGAGGTGAGATGCTACTGTGCAGGCACTAAAAGGAAGGAAAAGCTGGAAGGAGACGTGGGAACACAAGAATTTAAGGACTACCAATATGTGAGGGGAGCACATGTGCCCCGCAAGCGCTGTCGGGGTAAAAGCTGAGCCTTCTGCCTGGCCCTGCCACGGCCACGCAACCTGCCAGCGTTCCAGCACAGGCTGCCTCTGAACATTGCCTAAACCAAAGCAACGGACAGAAGAGGGATCAGTCGGCGGACTTAAATCCAGGCTGCCGTCTGTGGAACTGCAATTTCACCATCTGTCCATCCAAGTTAAGTGCTTTTCTCCTCTTACCCTTCTCTGCGAAGAGATCCCCGGCTTCAATTTCGCAAGCCCGCAGAGCCCAAGGATGCTGTTACCTTCAGCTGACCAACGGCAGCGTGACACCAGGATAAACTTCTAGAAAAAGTATCAGGTTTTGCACCAGTGCTCTTCCTTTCCCAATGCTGGACTGACCTTTCAAGCCCTGCGGTGGCAGAGCAAGCTCCAGTGACGGTGACGTAGGGGGTAGGGAGAAGTGGCCGTAGCGACAGGAGTCACCAGCGGTCCATGCCCAGCTCTGCAAACCCCCCAGCCCTCCCCGAACCAGACACGGGGGATCTTCTCCACGTGCTGCCTCAGCATCCCAGAGGATGCTTCTGCCTCGTGACTCTGACTCAGTTACATGTTTTGCCACCACTTTCACAGATAGTCGATAAATTCTATCAATACTGTGACAATAAATACTGCTATTTTGACCCAAACAACAGCAGAAATATACAATAGAAACCTGAGGAAGTGCCAACTTTCTGAAACACCGTAATAAAAACAACGGGCAGCTTCCCCATGACCGATTAACAGTTTTTTCACTAGGACAAGCGCATGCACATGCGTGCTGTTTTTTTAAATGAACAGGGTTATTTTCAGGGGACATTAAGCAGATGTGAAGACAGGAATTTGCAAAACCGATGGCATGCACATGGCTTTTACTGCAAAAGAGGAAATGTAAACTATTTCAAAACAAAAGTGTTCAAATATTTTGATTTTTAAATACAAGTTAAGATTCAGGAAGACAGCATGGGCAGAATCCTGCTTTACTAGTGCAAATGCCAATTAGTCCATATACTTACAAACAAGCAACCAAAATTCAGCACCCTTATGTTCCTCAGAAGCGTACACCTACCGCTGAGAGCAAACAATAAACGCTACGAAATTCAGCGCTGCCTGAACTACCCGTTAGCACAACAGAGAATTCTGCCCCTCTATCTGCAGGTGTCTCCCTAGTTGTGATTAAAAAACTCCTTATGCACAAAATAAAATTTGCGAGGTCTTCCGCTAACTGGTGGCAAGCCAAGGGCTCTTCTTATCAAACTTCTTTTATAATCCACACACGGAGCGAATTGCTACCACGGCGATTCCCTTTCCTTTCCCCCAGAAGGCGAGAGCCTCGCTAGCTACACCCGAGAGCGGCTAAATTCCTCAGAAGGCAAAAATAAATCTCTCCAACAGACACACGGCCCTAGAATTTCTCACTGTTGTTCCAGTTTCTGTTGAGCCGTATCATCTCGCTCTTCACATCTTTAGGATACGCTGAAGGATCAAATATTCTAGCTTGCTTGAGAGACGCGCAGCAGAGCGACAGCCAAGCCCGAAACGCTAACTTTGGAGTTGCTTCTGCTAACCTTGGAGCTGACGGGAGGGGGAAAAAACCTAAGTTTGAAATCCCATCAATCCTTCAGGATTATGTATTTATTTCACACCCAGTTGCTTAGAGCTCCCGAAGACTGTTAGAGCAGCGAGCTCAAGAAAGCCAGCAAAAGTGCTCAAAAGAGGTGGGTTTTGATGCGTGAGCTGCTCTCCCGCTCAAACAAAACCCACACGTTCTCCTGGTCCAGTCCCAAAAAGCACTGGACGCGCATGGAGGGCTTCTCCTGGGTGCTGGGGGAGAAGAGCGGCAATAAGCCACGCAAGCGGGAAACTTCCAGTTCTTTACTCAGGACGCCTTTGGTATCTGCTGTCTTCTTACACACGTGGAAGTTTGTGAAGGCAGCAGCTACTTCAGCTAACTGAAAACACACCACGAGCAGCTTGTCAGCCACATGGCACCCTCTGCCAAAGCTGCTGTGCTCCTTAATCTGATTCCGTTTAATCCAATTTATTGTCTTAAAGTACTGTCTCGCTTCACACAAGAGCTTCATTCAGGATTACCGCTAAGAGACAGCTCTCGACCCCAGGGCCTCACAATCATGGTAAGGACTACCTCTGAAGCTGTATCCATCCAGGCAGACGTCGACACGGCACACTGCCAACACATTCTCCTAAAAAACCTCAAAACCCACAGAAGCAGCACACCAAACCGACAGCAGCTGATAACCTCAGATGCAAATACCACCAGTATCTCCTTGCTTTAATTAAGGCGAGTCAGGCAGTTGGGTTGCGCGCAGCCCTCGGCTCCGAATGGGGAGTTTGAGACATGTAGGCACTTTCTCCGGCAGTTCCCGAGGTTTGCTCGCCAGGACTTATCGCCAGATGGAATCAAACCATTAAGGTGGGGCGTGCGACGGGAAGAGGGAAACCTGTTTCCAAGAAGGGATACTTGTCGCAGGCTCGTTCATACGATTCCTCTGCTGAACGGCAGCGGAGGAACCACTACATTAATCTTCCTGGATGCTGCAGTCATGTTCCACCACCGCTCCTGCTACTTAAAGAGTACAAGGTGAGTATTGTTAGCTTGCTTTACCGCATGATTGAATTAACGAACGGTATGCGCACTCAATATACGCCCAGGCTTTCAATACGGGATTTGTGTACCGCGCCAGTCGGTGCATCTGCCGCAGCGAAACACCACGCGCTCTCCACTAACACAGCGCAGGGTGGAGAACGAATCCTTTATAGACGTGACTCCCTGGGTTCTCTCGTGATACCTTGCCATGAAACAAAACTGCATGTAAGAAAACAAAAAGCTTGCTTATTCTATAAATAAACCCTTTAAAACTTAAATCCGGTGCTATTCTTGGACTGCAGGGCAGCTCGCGATTTTGCTACCCGACAAGTACGCGGTGACGACTTGGACGCCAAATTCTACGTTTGCTCACCAAAAGGTCGCCTTTTAAGTGACTTAAAATGACTTCATTATTAATTTTCCCATTTGTAACACCTCCTGAAAGCAAAAAGGAAAACCAACAAAACTTAGGTTTGATTTCTTTCTCTCACACCGGTGACATTAAGGACTTGGCTCAAACTCGGTGTAATTACCCCAGAAAAAAGCAGCGGGACTGCAGACATCAATACGTACTGAGCCATTTTCTCGGGGATTTAAGAAATCAAGTTCTTTAAACGGTATCATTAGCGCTGTGCAGTTAAAAGCAACCAAAGCTGTGTACGAAGTGGGAAAACACCAGACGTTAATGCCATTAAATGAGCCTTACCAGACCATCACAATTGCTAATAGCCACGGAAGCTCCGGGGATGTCAGTAATGTCTCCCACATAGGCGCAGTTGGTCCACAGGGGCTCTCTTTTCCATAAGCTCTCGGTAGCAGTTCTAGTCTGACTCGCGTTACCGCCATCCTTTCCAGTTTCCACAGAGTCTTCGTACCACTCCACGACGGCCTCGGGAGCCACTAAACGAGTGTTGGGTTTCAGCCGGAGATGGAATTCCCTTCCAAACGCAGTGACGTTAAAATACAGCTGTTTGGGGCTCTGGGATACCTCCCGCGCTGATCTTCTTTGGTGACTCGCGGAGAGGATATTGGAGACGTAGCTTCCATCTGCGTCGGTACTAATTGGAATCACTAACCCATACGGTCTCGGTCTGCTTTTTCGTAATTCTGCCAAGAGAAACACCCAAAACCAAACTAAAATTAGAACAAGAGCATGGAACGAGCCTGAAGCCGTCTCCCCTTCCAATATTCCCAAATTTAAGATGCCAGTTAGAGCTACTCTGAATCGCTCCACCGACAAGTTCAGCTGGAGAACGATAAAAACCTGGGTAGTTTTTAAGAGGACAGGGGACTGTGCCGCTTCCCACATCAACATGCATGAAATTAGCTGCCAGACAGCTCGTGTGGGTATGAGCACGCCAACGCAACGCCGGCACGCGTAAGGGACGCGTCACTGCACGCTCTACCTGCAGCACTGAGGCTTATTAATCTTCCCTTGGGTACCCTACAGTAATGCTCTTTAAGACTATCAATTGTTATTATCAAAATGCTTTGGACTACTTTTACCCAGACACGGTAAGGAAGAAGAAAAGCGCTTGACACCACGTTAAGGAAGCTATGAGGAACCAAGGACAGCGAGAGAGGAAGGCCATCACAACTCCTGGGAAAGCGTATGGATCCCAGCAAGGTGGACAAGCAGCAGCACGGCTGCCCAGTTACGCACCTCAAATAAACACACACCACAAACGCGCCCGCAAAATATCCTCCAGGCACCAACATTTTCAAGAAGCAGGTCTTTCATGACTCTACTTTCCTAAAACTTACAGAGAAAACCCTGAAGGATTCATTTACATTTATCTGGGGAGCTTCCTGGGGTTCAGGTTTGCTTAGTAGCCGCAGAAGAGGCAATAACCCTTTGGAATCCTCTTGTAAGAAATGGCACACAACTCCTTTACGCGCCTTGAAGAGAACTGCTCGCTCCCGCGGCAAGAACTGCGTTAAGATTTAGAAAACAAAGAGTCACGCTTGGTTATAACTGCAATTTGCGCAAGTATTTCCGCAGACTTCGAAAACTGAAACGGGGAAAAGAACCCAGGGGATATCGCATACCGCTGATAAATGATTTGATGTCAGCAGTGGTACAAGGAGTAACTTCAGATCTCCTCTAACAAATCCCCTTACTCAGCAACTTGCTGTTGTCCTTCCTCTTTGCGTAACTTGACTAATGGAGTTCAAAAAGAGAAGCTAATTATTAAAAAAACCCAAATCCCAATACAATTTTAGGTACAAGTTTGTACCTAAATCCTGCACTTGCCTGCAATACCCAACAGCTCTAAACCCCACGAAACCGCACTCTGTCGATAGTACTAAAGAAACCCACAGAAGTGCAGGCAGTGCCCTACACGCCAGGGGGGCTTCCCAGGAGAGGTCCCTGCTCGCTGACCTCTCCTGGGAAGCGTCGGAGCATCCCCAGGTACCTGAGCCGTGCGGCCAGACAGGACCCGTGGACAACCAGTTCCAAGCAAAAGTTCTCTGAAGGCTCATGCGCTTCAGCAGAGGCGTTGGCCAGATGGTAGAGCAGACAAAGCCACAGTAGAGAAAAAAGGTAAGAGCAATGAAAGCCCTATTTCCTACCAATTTCAGTGGTTCCCACGAGTCAGCTCAGGATTCCCATCTAATTAGCAGCAGGATTAGCTGACTGGAAACCTTCCAGTTGGGTTCTGGATTTGCGTAAGTGAATACACTCCTTCCCCACTCCCCAGAAAACCCTCCGTCTGTGTAGTCCTTTACCCTGTACCCTGAAAATACCATTATCAGCACAAGAGAGGATTTTTTTTCCCTCTCTGCTGTTCTTAGGCACTGATGAGAAACAGAAGAGAACCTTCTCTTTAGCTCCGAGAAAGGTCTTCTCCCGTTATCGCTCACCATGCTTGCAGCCCGGCACCGGGACACGTGTTTCCCATGACCTTCAAGTCACTTCACACCGCTGTAAAACAAGTCCCTCAAATGAGACGATCTTTTTGACGAGACCTTGGTAATCCGGCAGTAATCAGGATATTCGGTACCCAATTTGCACCCCGTAAAAGGAGAAGGAGGGACATTCCTGGGGCAGGTCAAGCTATGGGAACTGCTGCTAAGAACAAAGCCTAAGTCTTATTACCTGTGTGATAAGAGTTTAAAAGAGTTAAAAAAGACACGCAGCACCAAAATAATTATCCCCCAGCTCTCCTCTTCCCGAGAGAACTGGCTAAAGCAGTATCAGAGTGATGTTACTGATACTTTTCATTAAAAAAAACCCCTCCACGATTGGGTAGCGCAGGTGCCACCGCTGAGAATTCCTCAAATAAATATACTTAATTAAATGAGCTAAATTTTACCTGTTCCCAGGGTGAATCACGCTTAGAACCGAGAATTAATAGAGAAAAAGCTCAGTAGCGCGTCCCTCCCTCCTGGTAGCAGTGGCTGCTTATTTTAAGAGAAACATTCAGTGAATAACTTCAGTAGGAAAATGTTCCTCGTGGCTTCATAAAACAGTTTGGTTTTTTTTTTCTCCAGTTTTCTTTTATGCAGAGACCGAAGGTTTGACAGAAAACCAAGCTATGGTACTAAATAGGATATATATGGGCATTTAAATTCTTGCGCTGTAAATATCTTTACGTAACACGCAAATACGATATCCCTGGCAAGCAAAAGTTCCTTATGGCTTGCAAGTCCATGGCTGTGCAGATGTACCCCGCGTCCCGCGGTCACAGGGCGGTTCGACACCACCCATTCTGCCACACACCTCCAAAATCAGGTTCTACGACTGCTATCCTAATTAGGACGTTCTCCTTAAGGATAACTCCCATCTAAAACGCTGGGAATTCCGAGCCAGGATTGCTAACCTGCCTCCTCAGAGAAGGGAGCAAATTAAACCTCTAAACTCATTGTTCTTAATTCGGCACCGGGAGACAAGAGCTGCTGGGCTGTATATCCTAACTGGGTCAAAGAAAAAAAAAAAAAATAAATCGAGATGCTCATGATCCCCGCGCCGCAGCCCTGAGATTTCATTCACAGACTGATGTTCCTCCTTCCACCTCCCCGAGATTCTTCATGGCTTTTTTTTTTTTATTATTATTTTTTAAAAAAAAGCAGGGTGCTCAGTGCCAGAGACCACAGTCTGGCGATCAAATTCCGTGTTCACTGCACAACTGAGAAACTGCTTTGCCCATCTTGCAGCAGTATTCCCAGACTTCTACTAGCGGGGGCAAAAAAAAAAAAAACAAAACCAAACCACACAAAAAAAAAAAAATATTTTGCTAATAAGAAGAACAGCCAGCGAGCCACAAGAAGGTAGGAACAAAGGGTGGAAAATAAGAACTGTCAAGTTTTTGAGTCAGCAAAAGCCTTTTCCAGAGTCTCTAAACGCTGAGCTAGAAGAGGAAATGCCTTTTGTTCAAAGGCAATTAAAATTAAATGCGACATGACTGAATACCGAAGACATCTAAACTCCTCCACTGACTTACATTACCCTTTTTCCATACACCGTATGGTCTCTGGTGATGCTGTTCCAGCTGTAGGTGTTCCCTTTCCGAGGCTAAAATTTCAGAGCCGCTCTGTTCTGCTAATTCAAAGCTTACAGTAACCATCAGAGAAGAAACGCAGAGCGATAGAAAAAGCACTTAACTTCAAATTTTCTTCTTTTTTTTTTTTTTTCTCTCCAATCTGGCTTTAAACTGCTGCTCCAGTTGCACAATGTTTAGGTTGAAAGGAAGCACTTAAGAAAGAACATCACATTCTTTCATTGTGTGCCAAAACATAATTAGCTAGAGAATGCCTCTGAAGAAGCCCGTCTGGACTTTTTTTTTCCCCTCAAATACACATGAAACCAAAGAATTAACACCGCTGGCTCACAGTAGTTGCTGTTGCACTGTAAAACAACTGTTGACGATGAAGATTCAAAAGCCCTAAAACTTTTTTTTTTTCTCTCTCCATAAAAGAATCTGCATTTGGAAGAGGAATTATTTTTTTTCAATATAAGATTTTGTGAAACACACGGATCACAAATTGTTCACGGGGTTGCCCGCAGCAGAACTCCAAACGCATAAATAACCACTCAGAAGATTTCAAAAGCACAGGCTAAACTGAAATCAGCACAGTCAGTAGCAGAGCAGCGATTTCTGAAAATTCAGAGGGATTATTTCAGTGTCTCAACCAAGTTACCCAAGCTTGAAGACAGTACTATTTCTCTTCTTTTCCTCAGTGTTTAAACCTCATCTGGTGTTCGTTATTCTGACTGGGGTTTTTTCCTCACACTGCACGTAAATCAATTCCGATAGCGGGACTCTCCTTTTCCCAGCCCTCTGCGCTGCAGCCCGAGTTCTGCCTTTTGCGAACAAACCCACCTTCTGACCCCAGGAGCTCCTGCGCCTGTCACCGCCACCTCCCAAATTCTATCCACCGAGCGCAAGCGCTGGCGGCATCATTTTCCCCCCAAACATTTTCCGAGCCATAGCAATGAGATGCAGATGAATTCCTACGTGCGGTAACCACACCTGCCTCTTCCTATTGCTAGCAAATTATTTCACTTAGGAACGGCAACGTGGAAACCTACTAAAATTCTACCAAAAGCACAACTGTTTTGGCAGAGACCTCCCCTGGAGGATGTGTCCGAAGGTGGCTTGCGGGGTCGGGAAGGCAAAAGGACCGGACCTCAGGTAACAGCCCCGGCGCATCGCTGAGCCCGCATCTTCTGAACGGCGCCCACGAGCTACGATGCAATCGGATTGCCGGATGGCAGACATCCAGCTTTGCGGTGGAAGCACTGGGGAAGAAAAAATAATTACCTGCTGCTGGAGGAATTAAGAGGACAGCATTTCAATAAAAAGACTGTCACGGGTTCCTATGTTCTGAGAGATTACCCTTCCGTCTCACAGATAACCCTAATGGGATGAGTGCAGAGCTGTTCCAGGCACTTAGCAAAGTGCTGCTTAACAACAAGAAAAGATGCTGCGGCGACAGATGTCATCGCCGTTTGCTGCCTCCATCGTTGGTGGGCGCCTTCCAGAAACCGAGTGGCAGTTTTGGCCCCTCTCTTTCAACAATGTGGGTCACCTCCAAACTGCTGTTTGCTCCGTATTCGGCTGCCTCGAGGTGGCAGAAACGCCCAGGGAGAAAGGCAGGAGGGG